TTTTCCGTTAAAGCCTGCACAAAAACTGATCCAACCCAATTTTTGTTTTGTCTACTTGATGCACTTTTGCTGGAGTTCGCGCTCCTCTATTTCCTTGTTCATGGAACTTTTCGCGAATTTTATCCGATAAAACTACTTTGTGAAGGCTTAAACGCAAAACTCAACAATGAAAACACACAAAATACGAAAACCTTTACCATAGCTAAAAACTACTTGTTTGAAAATCGAAACCAACAGTACAAAAACAGCCCTACAAAAGCTGGTTGTGCACAAAGGTTGACTGGATTCATCCAACCCTGGCATGGCAATAGGGTCCCGGCTATTTTCGCGCCAGTCTATTGTCTTCGCTCTTGCAAGGAATAAGGTGAATCTTGCAGACAAATGGTCTATTCACACGGTGCATCTTGTTGTAGAATCTATACACCAACTCAACTCTCCTACGTCACGCCGCGGTGGTGGCGCGCCGGACGCACTTCCGGTCTGTGGCGGTGGGCAGAAGTCGCCGTGCCAGACATGCATTCCTGTGTTCCCTTGGAAGAAACGAGACAAAAACCTGCTTTCTCGTCAAAATGCTGGGACGGGGGTTGTACCAAGAGAGTCTGGAAAGGTTTGAAGATCAGTTTTCATGTGTTTTTGCCCTCTCCATTCGTCCGAGAACGTGGATAGTAGCCGTGAAAAGGGCAAACCAGACGCTGTCGAACTACGATTGCGTGCGCGGGCAACACTTTGTGGTCGCCAGAAGTATTTGCTTTGTTCCAACATAAACGAGAGAAAACCGCCAAGTTGTCTGGACCACCCACGGGTTCAGTGCGTCTTCAAATTCACACGGCCGCCTGATCGTTCGAACTTTCGTCTGCTCGTTCAAACAAAAGCGGCTCGTAGACCAAACTTTGACCCGGTGATTGCAATAAGAAGTCCTCAAAAGACTTAAGTAGGCTCGGTGTGAAAAGTAGATACAAGATGTTGATCATTGGTACCGGTGGTCATCACCGACTTGTTACGCTTGGTCTGTTCCCGCTTCCGATTTTCAGTATCCACGTCGATCATCGCCGCTACCTTCTACACTTTTGCAACACGAGCGACGTCGCTACCGAAAATAGCTGGAAGAATCTCATCATGGTTTTGGCGTCCATTCTGCGGCATTCATGCGAATGAATCGCCGCACGTCAAATTATTTACGGAAAGTTTAGCGGTGTAACGAGCCTTGATAATTTCGCTTAAGCGATTAAAGTGGTAAGACATTGCGATGAGGACGTAGAATCGACAATTCCAACGCGAAAAAGAGTAGGCAGACCCACACAGACGCCGACAACGTGACATTCGAGTGGTTTGTTGACGCGGGACGCGGAGCTTCTTGCCCGTACCCTATTACGCATGCGTTCGAACTGTCGTCTGCTCTTTCCAACTTGGCTGCTTTTTTTCGTCAGGTCGTTCAAACGACAGCGGCCCGGAAACCAAACGTTGACCCGGTAATAGCGATAAGAACTAAGTGCAGGCCTCAAAACACTTTTGAAGGTTGGTTGGGGTAAGTAGGCTAAGTGTAAACAGATACAAGAAGATGTTTATCATTATTGTTACCAGTGGCCATCACCGACTTGTAATGCCCCATTCTACTTGCGGTTTTCAGTATCGACGTCCACCATCTCAGCTACGGTCCACGTTTTTGCAGTCCGAGCAACGTCGCGTCTGAAAACAGCGAGCATAATCTCATCGTGGGAGTCAGGCTTTAGCGCCCATTCTGCGGCGTCCACGTGAAATGAATCGGCGCACGTCACATTATTCACGCAAAGTTTTGCCTCGTTAGTTTTGCTGAAGCCGCTCAAATAATGAGACATTGTTAGGAGGACGTAGCATCAACAATTCCAACGCGAAAAAGAGCACGGGGACTCCCACCGACGCCGACAACAACGCAATTCAATGGTTTGTTTATGGGCGACGGCGGGCTTCTTGCCCACCATCCACCGCGCATGCGCGGCGCCGGTGGCGTCCGCTAGGGGCGCTCCGGTTTGTTTGTAAACATGAGTTGGTGTATAGATAACTGGTGTGAACGCGACCGAAAAAGACGCGCGCCTCCGAGAATAGGTTAGGCGCGCTTCCACTTCTGGAGAGACATTTTGCTGAAACCTTACCGAGGACTATCAATCACCCGAAGGGAAAACGCGGACGCTGCCAATGGCAGTTCGACATCGCTCTGACGTCTGACCTTCGGGGCGGAGCGACGTTTTAGAGGAGTCTGATCTCTGACCAATCCGGTGTCCGAGCCAAAGTGGCCGAAGTCGAAGAGAGAAAACAAACATGGCGGCGAGCGACAGGCGACAGGCGGCGCATAAAGGCGATACGGGCAGCACGGGTTGGCCAGCCGGTGGCGTGGTACAGATTCGTCAATAGTCGCGACGAGTGCAAGCACTGCGTATAAACATAATGGGCGCGTTCAGTAGCGCCTCTTTTGCCTCCGAACGGAGTGCCTCGAGTCGGAGTCATCGGAGCGCTTACTGAACGGCAAAAAAACCCGCGGCTCCAAACCTGCTTCTACGCAACTTCCGCTTCCTCCCCTGTGCCAGACGGTCTCCGAATAAACTGGAAGCAGACGATGGCGAGCACGATCGCTTTTATTTGACGCCGGTATTGAAGAAGTCTTTACAAGGTCGTTAAAGAAAAAGCGAGTGATTGTACACATCAGCGCTGCTGTTCGAAGCGATGCAACGCGATCGAGCCTCTCGCTTGGCGGTGCAAAGTCAGCTACTGTTATAAAAGCCGACAAAAATCGTCGTCAGTACACGCAAAATACCGAGCTCAGCGAATCTACCCCGCCGGTTGCGATACTTTTATACGGTCATAAGTTTGTTCTGCCCTTCGTAACGAACTTCCTATAAAATGTATTTGTATACACACGGGAAGTTCGGCCGCGCTCGGCGATCAAGGTTTTGTCGGCCGAAGCGAGCCTCAGCCAACGTGCACCCCGATTTAGCTACGCAAACAAAACATTAATCGGTATCATGCTCTGCGTGAGTGTCCAACCGGCTTCCAAAGTCGCGTTCATACCCTGTTTTTCTCTGTTGAGCGCGGACAGGACTATCGTCAATAATACCGAGTTTCCGTGCAACGGCGATCAAGAGACGGCGCGTCAAATGAACGTTTGCGTTGTTTATTAGCATATTCAAACCAAACAAAATACGGTCCAATGCATTTTCCGAAAGAGCCTTACCTCAAAAAGATATTCGAACGCGTTATTCGTCTTACCTTGAGCACTTTTCATTAACAAAAGCGAGCAAACCGCGCACCCGCTACAGAACCGAAGCAGCTTATCCCGCCATATTGTTTGTTTTTTTACTCTTTTAGCGCCGGAAATCGTCACCAGTCAGGAAATGACGTCATTTTAGCTCCTTTGACTCTACGTGCACCGTCTCCGGACTCGGTGCTTCGGAGCTTGACTCCGAAGCCCCGGAGTTACGTGCAACGGAAGTGACTTTTGGCCGTCCAGTGGAAGGAGTCAGTGACTCCTTGACTCCGGGGCCGCTACTGAACGCGCCCAATGGCTGGGTATAGCGGATCTTTTAGTGGTGCAAAAGTGTCCGATATATTTCGAGATCATGCGCCCGTTCTTTGACGTTCTTGGTCTTAATACTCTTCGTATCACTTTGATACGAACCGTTGGATATTCACGGTGCAAATGTCAAGGTTTGCCGAAATTCTCGTGTATCAGTACGTCACAGATTTCGCGCGTCAAACTCTTCGAGTCAATATATCACAGGCCAATTTCGCGAAATCTCGGTTTCGCTAAACCGTGGTGTGTTGAAAAGAAGCATCGTGTGAATAAACCTTTAACTATACAAGTTCACAATATATATGAATATGACCCGGACAGAGCCCGGTTAATCTCATTATCGGCATACAGCGTGTGCGATCGTGACGCTTGCCGATAAAATTAATCATGAGCCAATCACCGTACGACATAAGTTGACAAGCCCTGTCGTTTATATATATGGTGGTAAAGTTCGGAGGCGGAGATTCCCCTAACAATTTGGGCTGATTTTGTAAACTTTTCAGGTCTTCTGCCGCACGCGGTGCGCATTTGTAAAATAAAACGTACATCTGTGTGGTATATTTTGAATCTACCGTTTCAATATCTGAAGTTTGTGTTTGAAGTGCTTTCAACGAATTTTTTTTTTACCTGTGCACACCGCGTGTACGTTAACGCGTCTGCAACAGATTCATAATATATTTAAAGCAAGTTCTACGAATAATGCTTGCAAAACGATAGTTTTACGGGCGACACTTCGCAGATATTTCGAGCTCGTCGGCTGTCGTCGACGCTCTGGAGGAACCCTTCTTCTCTCCCCTCTTGGCGCGAGGAGAGGGGATTTGAGTTTTCCCGTTGGTCGCGCAGCGCGGAGAGAGAAGAGAGGGAGCCCCGGCATCCCGCCAGTATAACGACGCGACGAAGGGAGAGTCTTCGTGTCGTCTGCTTGAAAGTCTCGTTTTCAAACATTACTCCCGTTAGAGGAAATCCCACTTTGGCAGTATTCAGTTGCTACGCGTAATGTTGGATGGTTTTAGAAACTTCCACCACGTTTACCCACTTTACGTATATCGAGCACTCGTGGTGGTCGTCAGTGGCATCCACGACGCCGACCAGGCTATGAGAATTAACCACGTGGCACCTCCGTCCTCGGGTACGTGCCGGCACCTTTCCACCCGCGCTGCGCGACCGTGCAACAAATATCGCTTTCGGGTCTTTCGTTTTTCAATTTTCAACTTTATTCTTTCTCCCCAGGGGAGAGGGGAAGGGGCAAATAAAAAAAAAAAAGCACTTTCCTCGCTTGACATACTTTATCCTCCCCGCACATTGTGGGGGAAAAATACGACTGTTTTGTTCTAAAAAAGTCTAGAAGTGGTATTTCTTTGTGTGTTGCGGCTTGCCGAGGATCGACGGGATGCTTTGTATTGGATGACACGCGTTGAAATCAATTTCCATACTCGTGTCGTTTTGGTTAGTCGAACTAATTCTGTGCACGATGAAGTCGGTCAGACAACCGGAGCATCTTTGCTGACCCCGCCCTCAAACGGCGCCTTTCTCTGTCCCAGAGCAGGGGGCTCTTAGCAAAGCCGCACTCACCTGATTGACGGTGCAGGTGGCAATGGCCAGGCACAGCATGCGCTGGGTCTTCTGGCACAATTCGGCAACCAGCTCGTCTTTGCAGTTCACCAGGTGCAGATGGCGCATGACGGTCTCGACCGCCTCCTCCGCCTCCTCCCCGTCTAGCTTTCGCAGCTGCAACGCAACCAGAAAAAAGAAAAGAATGAAAGACGTTTACAATCCCTTGAAATGCTGAATTAGAGCGCAACTCTTGAGAAGAAGGAGGGGAGGCTACGGGAAAGAGGGTATGCCCTTCCTCCTCTTCTCTCCTCCTCCCTCCTCTTACTCTCAATATCCTTCCCCACTCTTCTTTCCCTCTTCCCTCGTGACGTCACTCGTGACATCACTAGTGAAGGCCTCGTGAAGGTTGTGACCTCACGAGTGAAAATCACGTGAAGTGCGTGACTTTCACGTGACCTGCACGAGGGGCCTTCATGACATCACTCGTGAGCTAGAGTGACCCTCGTGACGTCATTATTGAAAACGTCCCATAATTCAACGCGCAGTTACGCCGACGGCGACGGCGACGGCGACGCCGCTTAAGACGAAAACGGGCGCCTAAGAGTTACGTTCTAGAAAGAAACGCAACACCGGTTGCATACGCCACTTGGTGGGCTTGATGCATTCAAAGTCGCGACAGAGGCGTGGGCACCGAACACGTCCGGGTTCAGGGACCGGTGCTTACGCTGGCGAAGAACAGCAAGTGTTCTTTCACGGTCAGGTCGCTGAACAGGATGATCTCGGAGGAACAGTAGCTGAAGAACTCCCAGCACTTGCTCGGATTGTTGACCACGTCGAAGTTGCAGATGTAGACGTTGCCGGAACTTGGTACGGCCGTTCCTGGAAAGGAAATCTGTTGTCTGCATGCTACGGTATCTAGATCAAACGGATATTCACGGGTGTGTTTCAATCGTTGGGACAAAGGCAGAAGCGTGAATGATTGTGCCCCTTACGTGTTTTCAAGGAAACGGAATTTTGTGAATCGTATTATGATCACGGGATTTCACTGCCGCGAGCTTTCGGGTCAAGAACGCGAGTACGATTTGTTTGTTCCATATATTATAGCTTGGAGAACAGAAAGCAATACAAGCACGATATGCTCTTAAACTTCGCTTTTAGCTTTTAGCACAGAGACCACAACGTCGTGCAGTCCGGCGTTGAAAGCTTGCACTTCAAGTCTCACTTAGGTTCTATTTATAAGTGGATCGATGCTTGGCGTTGATCCTCAAACAGCGGATCCGCCCATGGGAGTGAATAGGTGTGATATCATACCTATTCACTCCCATGAGTTCATCTCGCAAGTGTATTTTTTCTTTTCTTTTTCTCTCGTGCTCATGCATCGCATATGAGGCCTTCTACAGGTGCCACAGTGCACACAAAAAAAGAAAAGAAAATCATCGAGTGATACAATAATGTGGTAGCTGATGGCACACACCAGTGATGATCTTGAGCAAGGTCTTATGTCCGCTGTTCTCCGGACCAAGGAACACTGTGATCTGATTGTTGAAGACGGTCAAGTTCACTCTGTCCAGTGGGTACGAAGAATTTGTCGTCTCCTAGAAAGACCAAACACGCACAATTTACTTTTTTTTTCACAAGAGAATTACACTATACAATGATTTTGACGTTACTAGTATAGACAATATTTTAAGATTTCACCACGGTAATCGTTTTTTATAGATGCGCAGAATTGACATCACCGTAAAAATGCCAAGTGATGATGCCCTTCGACCGTTTAGACAAAGAACGTTCCTGCAATCCCTCAGTAATTACGTGTAATGAAAAGTGCGTTAAGAGCCCTGGGCTTCAATGGGGACACTTGGCCAAGAGGTCGCCGAGTACTTCAACCGCCATGATTGGCTGACGTCAAAGTGAAGCGCGGCGCCAACCAATCACGGCCGCCGAAATCCTCGCCCGACTTGTTCGCCAAGTGTCCAGATTAGAAGCACAGATTAGCCGTCGTAATGCTCGTGACAAGTTTCCGTCTAGCAAAGATGCATCCCGACTTTGCAAGCATAATTGAGTTTCAGCTGTCTATACATTTACGAAATTGATTTAGCTTTATCACTAAAATAAATTAATTTCAAATTTCTTTTTTTTTTCTTTCAGAAAAGGTATAAAATTTACAGCATTTCCCTAGTAGCACCTCACGCGGGTAGCGACCCTTTTGCAATCTCGCATAAGATTTGGAGACTCAATCGCTGCCTCGGCTTCAACGAGAGTACTCCATTTTTGTTTCTATGGTTAGCGCCTTTTCTTAGCCCTGGGTGTCGTTACAATAGAGGGTTTTAGTAGAGCATTGCGATAACTCCGATACCGGTACCGACACTCCGGCGACGCCTTTGCGCATGTTATCGTGTGGTTACTTGGTGTCGTTATCGGAGTTAACAGAAGCCGAACAGCTAAACCTCTCTCTAGTCTCCGACTTCACGCTTTGTGCGGGGAGCGGTGTCTAGCCTCGCATGTTCAAAACCACAACCGTATGCTCTTTTCCGAGCAAAAAATTCCGAAGCCATTTACACAAAAAATAACACTGTCCGGATAGTGCCACACAATGAGGCTAAGTGCCGAGACACTGAGGGAGAGGAGCAGACGAGAGAGGACTTCAGAACGCCGAGCTCTGATTGGAAGGATTAGTGGGTAGACCTAAAGCTGTAGCTGCCTTTGCCTACACTGCAGTCGTCGAACGCGTTAAGACGCGGAACGCCGGCGTCCAGCGTTTGGCTCTTGTTTTTTAGCGCGTTCGACGAGGGCATGCAGTGGAGACGAAGAGAGTTCGCTTTAGATATACCCACTAATTGCTCCAATCACATCTCGGCGTTCCGACATCACCTCTGGTCTCCTCCTGTACCTCAGTCCTCGGAGAAAAGAGAACGGCACGTAACAACGAACGTCAGAAAACAAGACGCGCGCCGTGTCAATGAGCAGTCTTGAAGATTACTCTGGCACCTAGTCCGGTCACCACGGTCAATGGAGGAAAAGCATTCAAAAAGTGCTATGTATGAGGTGTGTATATACAGGAATGCTAGGCAGCTTTTTTGTTCTCCTCTTTACCTTGGACACATTGATAATATGAATGATGGGCTCCGATGCTTTGGGATCTTGTTCGTAAATGTTGGGATCGGTAGTCTGCATCTCATTACGGATGTTCCACTTGCGGTATGGGAACCAGTAATCCACCTGCGGGGAGAAGAAATACTTAACAGGTAAAAAGGGCGTAAAAAGTCTCGAAAACTGCCTAAAACAAGTGAGAAACAAAAAAGACGCAGAGCGTTTGTATTTTGTAATACCCCCTCCCCTCCTTGGTGAACAAATTCCCATAAACGTGTCCAGTAAACATAAGAAAGCATAATGAAAGTGGTTTTTCTTTAATTTGTGATTGCGCAGGAACCTGGAGACGGAGGCAGCAGACGGTCGTCGGTAGTCGCGAATCAAAATAAGGTGAACAGCACTCCGCGAGAGAAGATAAAGAAACGTCTATTTTACGAGCCTGTCATGTTTGGACTTTCTCAGCCAAAATCTCTCTTGTTCGCGCCCACCACCGGAACCTAATCTTCAGTGGCGTACCAACTTGCTTTGGAAGGGGGGGGGGGGGGGGGGGGCAAAACGCATGCCATGCCCCTCCCCCCTCTGAGAGCCGGGGGAGGGGCAAGTGCCCCCCTTGCCCCCCCCGCGGTTGGCACGCCCATGCTAATCTTCCTCTTCTTTCAACCTGTCTCTCGCCCTCACCCGCACGAGCGCTGTCAGTTCACTTATTCGCTAGGTCACACGAGCAAAGAAAAAATACGTAAACAAAGAAATAAACACAAAAAATGTGGGTCCTGCTTCTGCGTACAGCCACGGCAACAGCGGGACCAATTTTCGCACCTCCCCACCAAGTATATTTTTCAGACCTAAATTTCAAAAACTAATATAACATGCCTCAACATAAAACGCGTACGCATTCCCTTCACACTCGATGTGAGGTGTTGACATCAATACGTAAAAAAAAAGTAAAAAAAAAATATTGACTTCACCGATACAATTTGTGCACAAGTAAGATGATCCTTACTGTGCCCGCCAAGGCTCTAACGGTTGTACACTCACAACTAATTTCAACGCACCCAAAGTACAACCGCGTCCTCTCCCGCCAAAAAAAAAAAAAAAAATCACTTAGGCTAGCGTGCAAACTCAATGCTTCAAATATACATCAAACACTATAAACTCACTCGTGAAAGCCAAAAGAAATTACGTATACCTACCTAACTGACGTAAATCTTTTCACGATTGAGCCCGTTCCAAATAGAGTAGGATAATACAGAACATAAAGCGCGTCGCCAAAAGTTGACTTACCAACATAACTCGCCTAAACTGAAGGAAACTTAAAATCGGACTCCCGTGAAATGCAAAAAAGGTTCGTCGCAACGCATTAGCATTGCCTAACGGCCTCCTGCTTTTCGTTCTTGCTTTTCAATATCCTATAGGAAAGTCCTTCTCCTGTGCCCCGTTTGTGTTCGATGCTACTCTAGTGCTGGGACAATCCGGTCGACCGCGCCAGTGAAGATGTTTGATTCTTCTTTTGCTTGTGATTGCGCCGGGACCTGGAGACGCAGGCAGCTGCTGGTCGCCGATGGTCGAAATCGCAATAAGGTATAAACGTGACGACCGCGTCGCTGCAAACTGATGGAGAGTCTAGATTGAAGACGGGCTCATCTCCATCGAAGTGATTGCAATTGGATGGTGGATGCCTCCCGCGGAGATTGATCGCAAGTGCGCCTACGCTGCGTTTTCCTGTGGCGAGGAGGAAAGCAGGTGGAAAGGCGGAGACGTTAGCAGACGATCGGCGCTTTTGCTACCTCTTCGCAGCTTGTATTGCAAATGCGATCCATTGCCCACGTGACCTCAATCAAGCAGTTGAAACCTCTCCGCAACACAGGCTCTGTAGAAACTCACGACTACGTCGTATTTTGCATTAATTCCGCATATAATTGGAAGTTAGTTCAATGTAGAAATTAAAAGTTTTGGCTAGATGGCGCAAGCCGCCGCCCAATTAAAAAGGTTCGGCCGTATCCACCTACCCAGTGCTGAAAGATTTTTTTTTTTTTACAGAAACATTATTAATAGTAATTAACGTGACCAAAACACTCAGTTGGGAAACTCGCCCTTCAACCCTGTCCTCTCGCGTCCACCGAGTCCAAACTAAATACGACCACAGCGCCGCCTTTTATCTACAAGTCAAAATATGAGAGTTGATTTATCTATAAGTTGCTGCGAAATGGCACTGCGAGATGGCGCCACCGGACCTTCCGCGACTCGCCCTGAGCCATACGTGCAGCCCGTGAAAACCGTGCAGTTCCCGGAGTGGCCGCTGCAGGAGAAATGGCGGCGTTGGGCGTTGCGATCGCCTTCAGTTCGGTTCTAGAGTACGGATCGGAGCTATGTTTTCAAGGCGGGCTCTATGGCAGTTTCCCAACTGAGTTGTTTTAGTAACGTTGACAGTAATTTAAGAATCAACTAATTGCTCACCGATAATAGGAAGTAGAAACTCTTGGGTACGCCATAATTCCAGGGAGCGACGTTGTCCAGATACCAGACGAAGAAAAAGAGGACCATGCAAGCGTTGAGACTGATCAGCACCAGCTCGCCCACACTCACATTGTCCATCGTGGTGCTCTTGTCGAAGAAGTGCTTCCATGATATGGATACACCTGTGAGGAAAAGCGTGTTGTTCCGAGTAATGGGAATTGTTCTCAGTAATATCGTACTTAATGGTATTCAATTTAATTCACGATACACTGTCTACTGGCTCCTCCGGTGAAATTGACAGCACTAGCGGCTAGAACAGAAAGCTGTGGCAGCAGGTTCGCTCCCTGTAGCCTTCCAAAGCGGATCAGATATGAACAGCGCCAGGCGGTCAAAAGACGAAGCCGTGAAAGTCTAGGTTCAAAAACATGTCATGAAAATCGCTGGCGCTCCGCTTCCTTCCTGGCCGCAGCCGTCGTCACGAACCGATGCAGCCAATCAAGGGGCGCCAAAAGGGCATCGTCTCAACACTCATTCGTGGGTTCTAGGTTATAGGTGGCGCAAGTTACCACCCGTTATAAAGTATACAGCTGTTAGCATCCATTCATTCATGCTATCACCGGCTAACTCTAGCGCTAGGGCCAATCCTATCACTGCCGCCCACTCATTCCTTTCTGCGCATACGATTGCGTTGACACTACTCTTTTCTTTTTCTTTCCCAACGTCTTTTCCATGTTCAATGTCCTGCATAAACAGCTGGCTAAAGACCTAGTGCTGGATCGGTCCACCATATCTTACAAGGTCTACAACGTAGCACGCGTCTTGTGCATTGGCCATTTGTCATGATTTGAATTCTAAAAACAAGAAATACAGCCCCAGAAACTGCAGAAACCCTTATAATACTTCATAAAACTTCATTTTAAGTATTTTGCGCGGTGTTGATGTGTGCGTACGTCCAAAAATATTACTCTAGAAGGAACAGCTTCAGGACAGAGCTTATAGCTTCCGGCTTCAACACACGTATGATTTATCGTATCGTTTCTGTAATCTGCGGTTCCGTCTTTGCGCTCGCTTCATTACTAGGTTCCCGTTTATGTAGACGCTTTGCAGCAGCTGTGCGATGGCGCCTCCATAATCGACCTTCCATAATTGTTTCCTTTTCCGTTTACATCGTTATTATCATAGCAAGCCAGGTTATTGCCATCGTAGATTCTATTTTGTCCTTCTCCTCAGCATTGAGCTTTGTGGAGGCTGGTCAATACCCCTTTCAGTGGCTCGGTACCTCCGTGAGACAAGAGAAGGTCAGCAATGGCGGCTGTAATCTGGCGCGTATGCAAAGCGTCTATGGAATCACTGGTGTTAAATTCTTCTATTCTTTGAAAAGTCTATTGTATAGAATGTTCTTGTTCCCAGAGTGCTTGCTCACCGTACTTCTCGAAGCGCTCGATGACCCGAAAGCACCAGTGCAAGAACATGACGGGAGAGAGGCTGGTGGCCATCTTGCGGCCCCTAGGCACCAGATAGTAGCCGACACCGAAAACTTGCTGGAGCCACAGGTAGGGTGCCAGGGACAGCAAGGTCCAGTACACAACGGCCGCGGCAAACGAGACGCAGACTACGTAGAAAGAAAGGAAGAACCGCGGTAAAAACTGCTCAGGGACCATTTTGAGTGTTGCCAGAGCGAAAAGGCCTGTTCACATGGTACCGTCTGCTTACATTGCGCCAAGTTTTGGAAGGATTATGTCGGCTTACGTTGAAAGTTACTGCGAAATCCGTTGACATAAGAAAGAAAGGATGCCCCGGTGATTTGTGACGAAACGCAAGGAAACGTACGCAAACTCTCCTATGTGAACGGATCTTAGCGATTCAAATATAGGTCATGTCTCGTGGTTCTTCGGCTTTCAATTTCGAACAACCCATAACACTTACGTGAAACATGACGCCACGCGTGAAATGAAAGTGATTAAAACGCGCAATAAGAATTCAAGATTGCCGCATGTCACAAATAAGTTCACTTTATAAAGTAATTCATTAGCCTTAAAAATTGAAAAAAATTAAATAGAATTCAAACCCGTTTAAAAAGAGTTTTCTATCGCGTTCCACTCTTAGAGGCAAAGCTTCAGCGTCCTCCTGTAATTTCTGACATGAACTCGTAAGAGTACCGGAAACTGCAGCGCGTCAGCCTTGAGCGGTTCCTGCGGTCCCCTTTACGCGTGGTACCAAGGATCGCGTGAGACAACAAATAAAAAGAAAACGATCCGCCATTTTCTATTTCCCAGGAAAAAAAAAAGTTATGTTGTTGTTACACTAAACATTGTTCAAGTCAGTCCCGCCCCAATATTTACGAGAAAGGAGCGCTCTGCTATTTGAGTCCATGAGTCAGCGGACTGAAATTGTATTTTATTTCTATTGCAGTGACATTTCAGACAATTTCAGAGAGGACAATTCAAATGAACCGACTCGGTTCACTTCAACAAGTCACGTGACGAGCTTCAATTGATGTCACGGTATACCAATAAAAAAAAACTGGATTTGTTTTTTTCGCAGTGTAGAGCTGGAAGAAACGTTTTTTTTTTTTTTTTTTTTCGTAGTCATCGGTCCCGGCGTGGTTATTGCTGCATCTGTTAAATTAATTTGCACAGCGCGCAAGCGACACTTCGGGCTAAACCTTCGCCAAAATTACCTGGATGACACCTGACATCCATTTCAATCGTTAAAATAAACTTCCGAATCGTTTTCATGGTCCCCTTAATTCGTCAGTAATCATAAATGCACCATCAGTGCCTCTGCACTCAAAATCACATCAAAGGACACAAACTTCCATGCAAATTCATATTACAACCTATAAAAATACCAAAAACACAAAATTCATTAAAAAAAAAAAAAAACGTAGCCGGCAGAGTTTATATATATATTTTTTTTTTACTCGTCAACTTCCCTAAGAAAACGACTTCCACAATTCCAGTCCAATGTTGTTTTACGAAATAGTGGGTCGGCATTCGACTGTTTGCCGTGAACGATATACGCTTCATGGTGTGAAGTCCATGTCAAAGAACCTCGCTGCCAACACGCGCTCAGCTACTTCTTTCTGTAGCCAGGCCAATTCCACCTAGAAGAAAATTCCTGCCTGTGACGTCATCGTGAGTGGATACCCGACCCGGCCCAAGCAGAAAACGCGCTGAAGCGCGTATCGTGGACCCACTAGTGATGACGTTTGGGGGAGAAAGGCCGAGGCCTTGTTTTTCTATATGTGGCATTTTCGACGGCGCCCTTACCGTTCCAAAGGAAGACGGAGAGCAGCATAGCGTGCAGGATGGTGAGCAGGCCGAACAGCATGAGCACGGCAATGACCAGCGTGCTGTCGGCGTAGAAGAGGAACGTGGTGCCCCTCTGGTTGTAGATGCCGAAGAGCATCACGTACATCACGGTCAGGGACAGGGCCACCACGAACACGCCCTCGGCCAAGTGGCCCAACCAGTAGAAGCCGTCGCCAAGTCCCGCCCGCCGCAGCATCCCCTGCGCGCGCCCCATGCGACCTTAATCTTAAAGGGACACTGACAGGGTATTTATGCTCGCCAAGGTTCTTATTGCTACCTGACATATGTGAGCCTAACTACTCGGAACACGATTTCCGGCCCCCTTGAAATTCTTTTTCTTTTCTCCCAATAACCGCCGATCGACAACTGGCCACATTATGGGTCATCAAAGGCACACACTCAAGGCTAGAAATATACAAGAACCCTGATATCCCTTGTTGTGGCTTGTAAAAAGCTGCAAATACGTTGACTGAAAGAGAAAAAAAAAAAGTTGCAAAGCGTCACTTCTGGTAACTTTCTACTCTTCTGTAGTTCTCCATTCTCCCCAGTTCAGTTTTGGTATCGGTCTCGCCCAGTTGCGTTTTTTTTTTTACTTTATTAAAATTATACGTGATGCTGTAGCAAAATAGTGATTGGGCTGTCTTCTAAAACCATAATAAATCGCCTGGCAAAAAAAAAAAAGCGATTGTCTTGTATACTTTTTGTCCTTGTCTTTGTCGCGCTATTTTATATGTTGAACTTAAAAAAACGGGGGTGTCAGTGACCATGAAATTATTTTTCAACTTCTTCTGGCTGACCGTTATGGATCCCTTGGGAGGGTAAAGTTCGTACCCTTATCGCAATTTTATAGGGTGCAATATGATTAATTGGGCGGCAAAAAAGTTAGTCCCGAAAAGGACCAATGTAAGGGAGTGAAAAGCAAAATAGAGTGAATTCAGCTGTTACCCCTATGGGAGTTCCTTCTCAGAGAAAAAAAAAAAACAAAACTCACTCCTTAGCTACTCCCCCCAAAGAACCAACCACTACTCCCTTTTTTTTTAGGAGTGTTACCAAAGCGAAATGGGAAATCACGTCGTCGCAACCTAGTATTCCATCAAACGCGATGACGCCAAGTTTCCACCGTACATTTTGAGAATACCAAGAAAATCGAGATTCGCAAGTGATAACAAGTGACATCATGGCACTCATTGGCCACCAACTCGAATCCAAAAATTCATCGACCGATCGATCGTTGACGAGCGAGTACGTCCGAGTGACGCGGTGCGCGTGTCCAATGCATCAGCTGGGGTCGGCTGACGTGCTGCGGCACGCCGGATGCATCACAGTGAAAAGTCGGAGAGATTTCTAAGGTAAGCAGGTGAGAAATAGTCAGCTATATTTTCAAAATTTCGTGCTGAAAAGCAAACTTTTCACTTTCTGCCCTCTTTTTTTTTTGACCCACTAAACGAAACGCACTTAGAAAATATTATTTTAAAATTATTTATCCCAGTACAAAATTAATTTCATGGCCACGTTGAAGAAAAAGGTCAGCTTTAGATACTAAGCTTAGTCTTCAAAGCCCGCTTACACGCTTACATTTGCTTACGACCTAGAGCTTGCGATTTCTTATTACAAGAGGGCACACTGGGAAGCTGGCACCATCTATGAGGTGACCCTGAAGTTGCCTTTCACTGAAACCAAGGTTCCGCGGTATTTGCGATATGAAATGTACGTACTGTCTATGAGAACTGGGCATTTATGACATTGTCAAAATGTTTTTGAACCAAAAAAACGTAAATGAAATAACAAAATTTGATAATGAAAAACTCAAACTGCGTTCTCGATTCCGGATTTCAAATAAATAAACCGGGCTGGCCTTCAATATTGATTGACTAGAAATTTTCAATGTAAAAATGTGTCCTAACACATCTAATTAAAAAATTACTTAGTGAATCTGTTCATTAATTACTCCTCTGTTAGTTGCATTCCCTATTGAACATAATGTCCGGCTGGCCGTATATACATAACGCAGTTGAGCGAACCGCAATTGTGTAGCTTTTACTTTTTCTTTTTCTTAATTTCTACTTGATAAAAAGAAAAAGAGCTCCTTATCATTACCACTTAACCGTTTCACCTTATAAATTGGCGTTGTGCAACTATAAATAGAGTCAGCCTTAAACCGGCGAGTCACGGGACATGGACCCGTGCGCATGCATTTGCGGGGTGTATACCTTCATCCCGGAGCGCTTCTCTCTGACCAGGGTGACCACAACGACGCCGAAGGGAACGAAGAAGCCGATGGCGAACCTCAGCGCCGTCAGGCTGAGGGTTTGTTCTTCGGACTTCCGGGAACCGTAAAAGAGCCGAGGGTACGGGAGCCTCTGCAGCTCCACCTGCAGAGAACAGACACTTGCTCCAACGTCCCTCCACCAGATACACAAACCCGGACTAAAATCCAGAGTTCCTAGACACCACCAATTTTTTTCATTTGTTCTCCCTCTCTCTCCCTTTTTTAAGTTAAACGGTTAAACCTTTCCGAACTCACTTATTACCTACAACTTGGATATTCAAAATTAAGGCACAAAAGATAATAATATATGATCTCACAATTCAGATCTTTGTTCAATCCTTTCTTTAAGTAAGTGGCAGAAAGAAAAAAGAAAGAAAAAGAAAAAGACATTCGAAGGCAACAATAAAAATACCAGCAATAACCAGTAACATTTATTCATTGCAATAAAACCCACACAAAAAACAAACAAAAAAGAAGCGTGGGAACTTTTGAGATTGCAGCACTTCTGAAATTGGATTTCTCCACTCAGGGTTCAAAAAGACAAGAAGAAAGATAGATACCCAGTAGTCCCTGTCAATTCAAGAAAATGAAGGCGTGGCGCCTGGCGTTTTCTTAAGCTCTTAGTGACAACAGCGAAACTAATTACAAGTATATGGCCATTAAACACACAGAAACATATAAGATGGCATGAGCCCTTACGACTTCAATGCGTTCTATTCACGCTGGTAAAACTTATTTTCACTAATCCTCTACGAACTGCCTCAATTTTTGATTGGTGATATTCTAACCCCCAACCCCTATTCGTACATTTTCATTTTTTTTATTTGTTGGTCCGAGACCAAAATGCCCCATAAAACCACCAAAATAATTTTGTAGAAAAAACTTGGAGGACGCTTAAGCTTCGCCTTTAAGAGTGGAATGCGATAGCGTTCTCGGTCGCCGTTTGCAAAGCCTTCTCATATAAACCCGAGTTCGTTCCCAAGCCCTGCAAGCGCGTGTGCGTGGCCTAGTCGGTAGCGCCACGTTTCACATGACGTCACACGTGGATGGGACATCATGACTTTATCGAACGGGGTCGCTAAACTCGTCAAACACAAAGTTTGCGCCAAAGTTCATGGAGCGTACTGATTGGGATCTCGCGACGATGGCTTCACGCGGGACAAGATGTCAATCATTCAAACTCTCTCGATGCTCAACTTCGAGCGAGATTGTATAACACGAAGTCGTAGCGAGCTTCACCGGAGCGCGCGCGAGCAACACCGTGGGGCCAGGCGATTGAACGGCGGCACTGATAACGTCGCTCCCGCATGTCCCTACATCCCTACGCCGCGTTAGAATCAATAATACGTAATTGTACGTACCTAGGCGGTCTGTAAATACTCTGAACTTTCTCGTCGGAAGATCGTTGTTTGTGGAAGTTATTGGTGACGACAAAGTGACGTTTCACAACTTTGGGAAGGAGTTATTTGAGGCCAAAATCTTCGCTTCGGAATCTGGGCGAAGATTGAACTTTGTGATATTTTGGAGTCGCGCTCGATGTACGCGGCTTTAGAGCTCATCTTCCGGAACTGTCAACAACTCTATCGGGGTCACCCTGGGGCCATGTGTGGACTGACGTCGGTAGTGTTTGAAAAAAGAGGGGGCGACGAGGGATGGCCAGAGAGAACCTAAGGAAGCGAAAAAAAAGGTACGACCAACACACACACACACACTTAAACACACACACACATTCACAGACAAAAATAGGAGTCCGGAAGGGCCGTAGAAACTGTTTGGGAGAGAGGGAAAGAGGGGGGTGGGTGATGGTAGTGAGGAAGGGGAATATCCCTTCCCCCGAATTTTTATAATGCAGCTCTCAAGCGCCCGTTTCGGACTTGAGCGACGTCGCCGTTGGCATAACCGCGCGTGTTACATTATGGGACGTTTCCCCGCTAAATTTAGCGGGGAAATTGACGTCCCGTGACCTCAACACCAAGTCAGTTTGCCCGCTAAATGGGAGGGGAGCAGGAGAGGACGAGGGGAGGGTACGGAAAAAAGTGGAAGGGATTACCCTTCCTCTCCTCCTCCTCAAGAGCTGCGCTCTAATTCGACGTTACAGAGTACTGCAAACGTATTTCTTTTTAGAGCGCAGCTCTTAGAGGCCCGTTCCCGGCTTGAGCGGCGTCGGCCTGGGCGTCGCCGTCGGCGTAACCGCAACCCTCGTAACCCTCGTGAGGGTTACGAGGGTTACGAGGGTTAATCTCATGAGGGTTACCCTCACGAGGATCACGAGGGCCACGAGGGTTACTTACCCTCGTAACCCTCACGAGGGTTACGAGGGTTAGTTACCCTCAAAAGGATTACCTTCACGAGGGTTACCCTCACGAGGGTTACTTACCCTCGTAACCCTCACGACGGTTACGAGGGTTAGTTACCCTTAAAAGGGTTACCTTCACGAGGGTTACCCTCAAAAAGGTTACCTTCACGAGGGTTACCCTCACGAGGGTCACGAGGGTTATGAGAGTTTCCCTCACGAGGGTCATGAGAGTTACCCTCACGAGGGTCACGAGAGTTACCCTCACGAGGGTCACGAGAGTTGCCCTCAGAAGGGTTACTAGGGTTACCCTCACGAGGGTCACGATGGTTACCCAGGTCACGTGACCCCCCGTTGACGTCATAGCCACTAATGACGTCATCAGTGACGTCACTGATGACGTCACCGGCATCCGCATCGTCATCGTCACTGATGACGTCATCAGTGACGTCACTGATGACGTCACCGGCATCCGCATCGTCATCATCATCATCACTGATGGCGTCATCAGTCAAGTCACTGATAACGTCATCGACATCGTCACGTGGCCCCAGGTCACGTGACCCTCCGACGTCACGTGACGCCCCAAGGTCACGTGACTCCAACAAGGTCACGTGGTCACGTGACCCCCCGCCCCCCGAGGTCACTTGACCCACCCCCCAGTACCCTGCCCTCCTCCTCCTCAAGAGCTGCGCTCTAATTCGGCGTTACAGGGAGTTGTAAACGGCTTTCATATTTTTTTTTATTATTATAACTCTCTGAAATGCTATGGTCACGGGCTGGGGCGATAACCCCCCTCCCCCTCCCCCTTACACCTTTATGCCCCTTGCCCCCTCTTTCGACGCCACTGGGGGGGGGGGGGGGGGAGTGACTCTATCCCTGTCCTCCTGTTTCGATGATTCTGCTAGAGGCGTTCCAACTGAGCGATGACGAGGCACAGCGTGCAATTTTCGAAATAATGGTTCTGGAGATTCTGGAATTAAAACTGTTCGCGTTCCATGAACTCACAAGCGGCCATGACAGACTTGCAAGCGAGAGGCTCGTGCCAAGGCTCGTTGTATGCAGGCGCGTTCAGTGACGTCCTTTTATAGTCCCTTGACGTCAGGGTCAAGATTATCATTTGTGAACGACAAATTTGATGGTGCCTGTTCAAGTCGACGGTGACAAGTTTGGTTCTGTACGATGAAAGCTTGGTGTCTTCGCGTTCTCGAAACATCACCGTCAATAGTGACAACTTTACATTACTCTTATTTCTGTTAAAGAACGCATAATTAATCCCAGTTTGGCTAATCTTTGAAAGTCTACCATTAAATACTTTTATCCCGCCGATGGAAGAGACAACCGCCCGGAAGTGAAATCCGTCCGAAAATGGACAATGCTACTTGGCTTGTGACCTAGCTACACTTTGATCAAAAAGCCGAAAAAAAAAAAAAATAAAAGGAACGACAGAGACGCTCTTTAGTAAATGCTGCTTTATCGGCGCAAATCAGAACGATATCAGACTATCGACTTCGATGGTGTTGATTTTAGAATGCAATTACACAAGCCTTCATTATACAGACAATCAAACATGTCGGTTACAGCTGATAATCTTTGTCGTGACGTCACGCGTTTAAGCCACGGCTGTCTCGGCGCGCTCTCTCGTGCTGGTCTTGTTCGGCGCCTGGGGAGTGGTAGGGATTTTTCGCCCCTTAAATGAAAAATGTCACGAAGATACACAAATTTTCGGGTTTGTGAGAAACGCAAAATTCGCGGAAATTTTTCGGCTCCTCCCCCCTCTATGTCATAACCCAAAGAAAGTCGTGTTTGACGAGTTTAGCGACCCAGCTATGTTTGGCGGGAAGCTTTTTCGCTGAATTTGGAGGGGAAATTTTCTGCCAAATTTTACAAGAAAATGTTCCGCTAAAATTAGCGAAAATTTTTTCGTCACATGTAGCGGGTCCATAGGGTCATGACGTCACAGACACGTGTGACGTCACAGGCGACGTCACACGTGGCTGTGGGCGTTGCATTCTGGGATTCTAAGGTCCCACCGACGCCGACGCCAGATTTTCTGTGACACGAACTCCTAAACGCTATCGCGTTAAAACTTATCATAGTCGTTGACATTCTAAGAAACCGACTTCCGCCGGGTTGGCCTCGCGTGCGACGAGGTGTTATCAAAGACACAAAGCTGGCGCTCAAGGCTGTATTCTTACTCTATTCTACCCTATTCTTAACCTGTCAACGATAATAAGTGTGAGACTCGTTTGATGTCTCAAGGATACTAATAATTGTTTTTTTTTTATATACTTCGAAGCCCCTCCTTATTTATATAAATCAAAATAAGCACGTCCTAGATACTTCCCCGGCGTCGTTAGCCGTGTCAAAAATGCGTCATCGCGAAATTTGCCTTCGTTTCCTCGATCCTGTTGGACGGACTTACGAACTCACGTGTCGGGTGGCGTTCTTTTGCCGAGACTCGGCGATTATGTCTATGAACGCCGATTCCAAGGCGTACTGCAGCGGAAGGAGGATGGCTGCAGCAGGAAATAAAAACAAAAAAACAAAAAACACTAATGAGCGGTACCTTTTTTTTCAATGAGCGTTTTTATGTTTCATGTAGGTTTCTATTACTTATTGCAGATATCAGCGTTAAGCAATATTAAATGTAAGCGAATATTATTTCAACGGTTCTCACAGATAAAAAAAGAAAACAGAAAATATATGATCCACCATTTGATTGTTTTGAATTTTTTTTTACTCGGTAAATAGTGTTGCATATTCAATGATTGAGCAGATTTAGGTCATGCTCAAGTCCTCAACTTTCTGGGCTTATGTGATCGAATAACCGAAAAAGGAAAATGTGTTGCTCATTGCTCACTGCCTTATTCTTTCTTTGTTTGGTTAAATTCCAACATTTCCTTACAGATTTTTTATTCGTGTTTTCGGTTTTGAGAAGCCTCGATTTATTTTGAGCGAAATAAAATTTTGCCAAATATAAACGCCGAAAGCTCAGACCCCTATCTATTTGTCACGTTCGACAAACCACCCTTTTTTCGGTGCGGAGTCAAACGTGTACGCAGCGCTGATTAGAGTTTTTAAAACCAATACTTTTTCTTCCTTTACTGCACTGAAAAAAAGGATAGCATTAGGTACGTAACTTTGAAGACAAAAAACGGCCTTCCACATCTTCTGCACACCCTGAACGATAGCTACACACTCTGTTGTCTGAGCACACCACTTAATCCCAAGACGCCCTAAAGTCTCTAGAAAATCTGAGAGACGCAGTACATGTGGCGTAAAAATAAAAACCACACGAGCAGTTTCTCTAAAACACTCCTAGATAATGATGGCAAAGGACATAATGTGCCGTTTTCGGAGAAAGAGAAATTCTGTTTGAAGGCAATCGCAAAACATATTCGAACCTAACTTGACTGACGCGCCGTCCCGTGGCAGGGCACGACGAAACGCGAACCAAAGAGCACTTAATTTTATTTTGCAGCTCTAGAGTCTTCTGCAACACAAGGCTGTAGTATTCTGAGTTGAGCGGTCGTACGGCGCGAATTCTGAACCAGAGAAGCGCGTGCCCCACACGCAGTGTCGCGTGCTCAGCTCGTGCATGCTAGTGTCGCTTTGGAACAGTTGACCCTGAGATTCGGAATAAACAAGTCAACAGTCACCGGTGTCCTTCCTCGCCCTCGGCGGGGTCCGCGCGGACGCGGGCCCCCGCCGCTACCGGGTCGCCTTCGCGGATGAGCCCGACTTCTACTCCCCGACCACGACGACGACTGCGGCAGCAACTGCCGCTCCTTTCCCTACATTGGCAAGGCAAGACATCGCCACCACCGGCATTCAAGGCCATCCACGTAGCCTTGCGCCGGTACCCCACATCACCTCTCGGACCAACCACCTCACTACCAACATCGGCCACTTCCGAAAATACAACATGGCGACGAGGATGGGATTCCAAAAGGGCAACGACAGTTTTAAGGCAAGCACTGCGTCCCGGTCGCATAGTTGGCATGAACCGGCGCATCTTGGACGTTTCTTTCTTCGCAGCCTTGCGGCGTTTCGTTATGACTGTTCGGGCCAGTCGAGCTAGCGTTTGGTTTTTCTCCTTTTGTCTGTTTATTTTCGTGCGGCCTACTTCGAGCCAGGTTGTACTCGTTTCTCCGAACCAGAGCGTCTCGGAACTCCTGTACGCCTAACGTTTCGAACGCCGAGTTCATTTTTTTTTAGCTTTACTCGTTTGTTTTTTTTGGACGCAGCGCGTTCCTGAATCAATGTTCCAGGCAAGAAATAAGCCCTGAGAGAGTTAGCTGGTCTTGCGAGACAGCATTTTGTTTTCGGTTCCGTCCGCCCTGCGATGACGTGAACATTGTTCCAGGCGAGAAATAAGCCCTGGCCGAGCAGCTGGCCTTCAGAGGCAGCAATTTTTTTTCATCCCGTCCGCCCTGCGATGACGTGGACTTTCTTCAAATCTTTTGTTTTTGTGTTGTACGCTCAAGGCTGAGGTCCGGAGGATTCAGAAGTGTAGCGTAATTATGCTCAAGCTGTTTTTTTTTTATCGTCGTGATGCTCCGACGCCGATCCAAGTCAGTGCCCAAGATGGCCGCAAGCTCCTGCCTCCCGACATGACTGTTTGAAAGATGGCCACCCGCCTTTACTGACACTTCGCCAAGATGAAAGAGTGCAGCGCCTGGTTTTCCTATGAGGCCCGGTTTTCTGCTGCATCTCATGTTCCTGCAGCGCCTGGTTCCCCTGCAAAGCCTGGGTATTCTGCTGCATATGACTTTCACGACACAATTTAAGAGAAAACACGCGCCTGCACGCGCAAAGAGATTTCAGCTAAAGCCACCTTGCGTTGTGCTTCGCTTTCGCTGGTGAGCAGCCACGTTCCTTGGCACCGCCGTATGCGGAAGAATTAGCATCTCTTGCGTTCAAGACGTGTGGTGCCAGTAATAGGCTTAGCTTTCCTAGAGAGTTTTGAGTTCGACTATCAAAGTAACAAAGTTTTGAGAACAATAACGCTTGAACATTGTCAACGAACTAACATGCGCATGCATGAGCCGGCGTTTTCTTCAAATTTGAGTGAACCTATCGAAATGAAACTTCCTTTTCACCGGACTTGATTTTTTACTTCTTGGGTCTTCATTACGAAACCAGAGTCGTGTTTTTGTAGTACTTAGCTTTTGTTTTAGAAAATGTTAAAATATTAAGAAAGGGAGAATAGGGGCTTGCTTCATAGTACTTTGTGTTCTTTGTTTCGCTTCTTATTCTCCCATTGTGTTTGTTTAAAAATATATTAAGAAAGGGAGAATGTAGTATTCTGAGTTGAGCGGTCGTACGGCGCGAATTCTGAACCAGAGAAGCGCGTGCCCCACACGCAGTGTCGCGTGCTCAGCTCGTGCATGCTAGTGTCGCTTTGGAACAGTTGACCCTGAGATTCGGAATAAACAAGTCAACAGTCACCGGTGTCCTTCCTCGCCCTCGGCGGGGTCCGCGCGGACGCGGGCCCCCGCCGCTACCGGGTCGCCTTCGCGGATGAGCCCGACTTCTACTCCCCGACCACGACGACGACTGCGGCAGCAACTGCCGCTCCTTTCCCTACATTGGCAAGGCAAGACATCGCCACCACCGGCATTCAAGGCCATCCACGTAGCCTTGCGCCGGTACCCCACATCACCTCTCGGACCAACCACCTCACTACCAACATCGGCCACTTCCGAAAATACAATAAAGGCCCTCAGCAACTGCTCCGCTTTCAGAAGGCGCCCCTTGGCTTTCGGCATAGCCTCCTATATATACTGACAAAGCCTGACAGATCGCCACGAGAAGCGGCCTTGGAAGTGGAAAAAGTGGAGCGACAGACAACGGATGAGGATAGAGCCACGTGACTGGCGCCCCGCTGCGGTGAGACGCCGAAACACGCTTCTCCCGAGCGAAGAAGCATGTTTGGTGTCCTCGCCGCTGCAAAAGCTGTGCGCTGACGTCCAGGTTCCTCGAGAAATGCTCTGTGCTACCAAATCCTCGCGTTCTAAATCTGCGACCGGACACTCTATGGCTCCGTCGTCGAACTGCCACACTTCGTGAGTATAGAGGAGGCTATGCTTTCGGCGTGTTTGGGCCTCACGTGCGCTCAAGTCTTATGGAAGGAGGAAAGTTCGTTGCGGAGGCATCTACCGCTGACCTTAAGTTGCAACGGACAAATAATGACCCGCAATGCGAGGACGGTATTAATGAAGGCAAGTGGCGGAGACTCACTCATCTCTCCGAATCTGCCGATGTCCCTGGGGCCGGGGATGAGGAGATGGCGTTTGTACTGGAGCTGGAGGTCGAAGGTGCCGAAGGGGGCTCGCACCGCGTACGACAGGCTGCTGCTGCTGCCGTTGGTGTCGTTGTCACGCGCTTCGAACTGGACACCCAGCAGCAAGCGGGTGCCGTTCTCCCGTCTCCGGAGGTACGCGTCCAACGCCGTCGAGTTCGCCAGAGGCACGGGATCTGCGAACCAGAGTTTGTGTCCCGGGCTGACGGTCTCCACGGGCAGCGCTGAGTCTCGACGTGGACAGCGCCAACCGGGCTGAGTGCCTCAGGATTTGGTACGGTCACGTGTCTAGTGGTCACAATTGTACAACATGGTGGCAGCCAGGTGGGAGTCACTTTTGCCTGGTGAACGGGATGCCAGTCTATCATAAGCCCCTCTACCTCGTTGATGATTCCTCACTGTTTGTATCGTCACCTGTGTGCGTGTATTATTTCGTATTTATGGCTTTTTGCAGACGCGGTATCGTCATCTGCGACAATCAAGAGCAATACATCACGGCCACTTTCGTCATCGTGCGTGGTCTCCAAAGAGGAAATAATGGGAAATGTGTCGATGAATCCAGGGGCGGATTTAGAGGGGAGGTCCGGATGTCCTGACCCCCCCCCCCCCCCCCTTGATTTTTACATATGTAAAATTTAGGGCGTAAAACAAGGGAGAAGGGGAGGAGGTTCCTAAACATATGGTACGCTGACCAACACCTGACCCCCCTCTCAGGAAATTCCTGCATCCGCCCCTGGATGAATCTACGAGCACGTACCACGTGACAACAAGCGTCGTAATGCGTTCCACGCGGCAACGTGTTGTTCCAGAACAAATCTGATTTGATACATCTCGTGTCGGTGCATTAATAGGAGAGACAGAAAACGTCAGAAAGACAAGGAGAGGCGGTGAAGTGATTAGCATACCCGACCGGATATAGGGAGGCCCGGAATTGAAATACCGGCTCCGCCAAAGATCGTCTTTCGGCATCTTCGTAGACTAATTGTTTCATTCGAACAAGTACGGTTCATCCGTGCGCACATTTTCGATCACTCTCTATAAATGACTTGTACGTGACGTCGTCGCTCCGTACCAATGTCCTTCTTGCCGAGACAAACAAATTCAGTGGTGCGAAAAACGTGCCGCCGAAGGTAGCGTCCCGGTCCTTCACAATTGCCGCTGATCTGACGTCACTGCAAGTCATGCGCGACATCAGAGTGTATGACGTCACACATGGCTTGCACTAGCTGAATCCATGTGTGACATCAATGTAGCGTCTGCGTATGCGCAGTGCCCACAGCAGCGCCACCCCGGTGGCGTGACGTCAAAGAGTCTCGCTCTGTGACGTCAGTAAAATGGTGCGTTTTATTTGAACAAAGTGGAAGCGGAAAAACAAATCACGGGGTCTTTTATGTTATCTCTAAGACGACTTGAAGGCGAAAGCCCAAGCATCGATGCATTAAAGACACACTCCTCTTAATGTGTTGAGTCATCTCTCTTAACATGCTGAGTCATCCGTCTCAATGTGCTGAGTCATCGACTTATTAATTCTTCTCAATTCACTTTAGTTCACCTTAATTCACTATAATTCCTCTTAATTAGCTGTGTCGTCCTTCTTAATTAGCTCTCATTACTCTTGCTGCTCTCTAATCCCTCTTAGTTCGCTTTAACTCCCTTTTATTTCACATTGACTCCTCTTAATTCGCTTCATAGTCCTCCTTAATTCTATTGATTACTCTTACTTCCCTTAATTACTTTTAATTGACTTTATGTCCTCTTAATTCACTTTGATTCCTCTTCATTGGATTTTTCATTCTTCTTAGTTTCATTCCCTCCAGTTCGCCTGAATGGCCACGTAAACGTTTTGGTACTTTTCGTGTTGTCGAGGTGTTTTCGCTCAAGAACTTTGAAGGTCGACTGAACGATGACACATACAGGGCTCTTTCCCTAAAAGACGAGAGAGGGTAGGTTCAGTATACGCACCCAAGTCGCCCAGCCGGTCGCAGGCCCTCCGAACGACTTCGCCGAAAGGGTTCGAGGGAGGCGAGAAGGCGAGGCGTCCTCTGGGCGTCGACCCATTGCGCTGCCCCCAGAGGTCCGTGGGCTTGGTCATGTCGAAGGATCGCTCCTTGTTGGGGCTGGCGGCGAACGGGGCCACCGACTCCTCCCAGACGCCGTACTGCAGGACCACCATCGCGAGCACCTGGAGCAGCGTGCCCGCCCAGTGCCGTCGGATGCGGTTCATGTACACGTGCTTCCAGAGGACCAGCCTGAACTGGTTCCAGTGGTTCTCCATCGGCTACGCTCCGTGTTGCGAATTTCCTGAGAGAAAGAGTATTGGGTAGAGTTGTGCATTTATGCACGAGTAACATATGGAAATGTCCTTGAACGTCGAAATGTCTACAAAATAAAGCCCCTTTCGCGTTTTTCTTTTCGAGTAACGATTCACGGAAACCTAAACCTCTACGCGAATGTCACACAGGAGGTATTGATAAAATGCGAACATGTAAGTACATGACGCAACCTAGATAAACAAAAATTTCCCGAATTTCCACCAAGCTTAAAAAACAAACAAAAAATATGGCTGCTTGTTGCAATAATTTCGGGGACAAAAATTGTGACCGAGAAATGCAATTTGCTTTTCCTGCTTGCTGATTTTCTTTTTTTCATTGAAATAAATGTTACATTCACCCGCATGGAATTTCTTTGTTTGACTGCCGTGAACGTCGCTTCATACGTATAACTAGATTTTCGTTTCTATCCTCTCATCCATGGCAACGTTATCAAATTCCGCATTCTATCACCAGCGTAATCGGGCGGAAAAACAGGGTTTCGCTTTCTCGGTCGGACCTCGAAGGTAGTGTCAGATGGACAACCTACGAGGCATTGAAATCACGAATAGCGCGAAGGACAGAGATCGACCGCCTGTAGCATAGTCCCGTCTGCTTGTTCCACGGCAGACAATACCGGCAAGTTCCAGCTACGGAGCCGCCGCCCTTGTGGCCACCTCTCGAAACACCACTCGGGTGACTGATTTCGTTTGTCTAGAGTCGGAGAAAGTAAAAGCGGTGCTAATGAACATATAAAGTTAAATCAATTATTAGCACAGACAGGACAGATACTAAGCGTCGCCAGCGCGCTTTTAAATAGAGGTCCCGTGACCTCTATATTTATTTTCCAGTTGAGTGAGACGACATTTCTTGCACACGATCGGGTCGAGCGCTTCCTTTCCCCAGAAGCAACGCGATAGGTCTTGCTTGGGGTGGTGATCACGTCGTTGACGATAACCAAGCAGAGAACTACACATTTCTTTCACTTTACACGTTGCTGGCGTCCACCACCGGCACTGCGGAATGATCACCCTCCTGACCGCCATGTTGGCGTGATCAGCGTCCCTCCTATACTCGCTGGAACTGGCGCATAAGCTTAAACACCCGATTCGGCCTTCGTTTTCTGCGGTCCCCACCAGCACATGTTCTCTCTCAGTTTGTCAAATAGTCCCAAGTACTTGACCTCACTTTAGCGTTCCATAGTCCTACTTCGTTTCGTAATATACGTTCCGACCGCAGCCTAGGATCAAAAAAAGCCAATCAAATAGGGCCAAAGTGCGTCGTCATGGCCCTCGTCGTCTTTGGGTGTTTGCTATGTGGAGCGCAAGTCCGTCTGCTCCTTTTGCAGTGGTTGTGGTGACGTCAGAATGCTGAGCTCTGATTGGCTATGATTGAAGGACAAAGGGTAGACGTTAAAGCAAGCTAGCTGCCCTCGAGGTTTACCCACTGTCCTTCCCTCAGAAGAGCCAACAAGAGCTCGTCGTCTTTCTGACGTCATCACAACCCCCGCAAAAGGGGGCAGACGGACTTGCGCTACGTATAGCATGCAGAGCGAACGCTGGAGACGAAGTCGCCTCCTCTCCAGCGTTTGCTCTGCTTAAGTGACAAGAGGTGGGAGTAGCCTCCACTTTAACTCTTAACCTGTCACCGACTAGATCACCGGCTCAAATAATCACACTCAAAAAAGATCGTGGTTCGTGGGGACGATCGCCATGACGATACGTTTTCGGAGCTGCTGGATTGGCCTCATCGAGTCGTAAGGTTAGCTGCGATCGGAGTCCGAGCGAAACAGATTGTAGTTGGGACCACATCTCTCCCTCCCTAAAAAAACGGACAGGTGCTGCAAACAGGCGTGACGGACTGTTTCTGCTCCTATTGTCCGCGATGTGTTCCTTGCCCCTGTGTTATGCACATACGTTAAACGAGATGATGAATCGCGGGATAAGGAAGGGGACACGTCTCGCTTACTTGGCCGTTCCAGGAATCTGCTTCCGCGAGCACACCGGCGCGTGGCATGCGAGCGCTTTGCCTTCTCCTTTTTCTTCTTTCCGTCTCCTTCGTGGCGCGCTATCTGAAGTGGAACAGAAAGATTATCGCGGAGTACATCATAACTAAATGTGAGAGCAATAGCATCGTGCCAGTGCGATAATAGTAGAATCATAAGTATTTTGGGAGCGAAAAATATCTCATTCACTCGTGGTTGTCTTTTTTGAGCGTCTTTGTTGCACTTAGGGTGCCTTTATGTGCGCTTTGCTTAAGGTGGAGACATCTGTCCATTTTTTCCCCAGACTTTATTTTTATTTTTTATTTATTTTTTGTTCAGAAGCGCGTGAAAGGGCGTGTCCCTGCACGCGTTTGTGGCGCTGGCTGTGGTACGGTGACATTTTGGTTTCGTCGATTTCTTTGTATTTGACCCGTGAGCGCGTGCGGTCGGCATGAGGTACTACAAAGGGTGACATCACCCTAAACAGAAGGACACTGTGGCACCCTAGTTGCACTTACCCAAAGAAGACACTGGCAAAGGATCTGAATGGTTAGATCACGTGATAGCGCGGCTATAAACCCAAATGGAAGATCAAGAGTCTCTATACTTGTGCGAGATGAAGCACATCACTCTGAGCTTGACCTTTCGGACCTCTGTTTACCATCTGAAGAGTATGTTGGAGTGACGATCAGAATGGGAAAGAATGAAACGACAATTGTATCAGCGTACGTCACGCCACAAGGCCTCTGGGACACAAAGCCACTTGAAAAAATAAGTAACAGAAGCCGAGGAAACTTAATTATTTGTGGAGACGTCAATGCTCACAATGAAATATGGGGTGGCTCTCGCACGGATACGCGAGGACGTCAGATAGAGACAACGGCAGCAGCGTTCAATCTCCGAGCTCTCAACGACGGATCGGCTACATTCTGCCAACGGCACACAAAGGCGAGCACCCTGGACATAACGCTGGTCTCGGCAGTAATGGACGCTCTCTGGACTGTGGAGCCGGACGCGGGCGGAAGTGACCATTTTCCAATCAACGTGATACACCCCAGAGCGGCTCCGAAGACCATCAAGGAGTGCAAGGTGGTTAACTGGGACCTTTTTCGTCAATACTTCACTTTCGCCGCAGATAGTAAAAGCTATACAGACATCACTACTTGCATTGCGGTGTGTTTGCAACGCGCAACCCGCATTGTTAAGATTCCAGCGACACGTCTTACACCTGACCTTGAGTGGCTTAATCTCCGAGCCGCTCGACGACAAGCGCAACGAAGGGCACTGCATACGGACGCCTTATGGGATTGGGCACGATACAACCGCATAGATGCTTGCTTCCGTCGCCACACAAAAAAAGCTGTAAAAGTGGCAGTGGAGTAGTGACTGTGCTTCGCTGAGTGGCCCTGGGGGAGGAAGACGGGCGTGGGGGCTCGTTCGAGCTCTTAAAGGGGCCAAAATTTCGCGACATCCCATTACAACACTTGCAACCAAGACAGGTCAAACCATGATTGAAGTGGCGGAGCATCTGGCGGACGAGTTTGCTCGATCCTCTACTGCACAGGCTGTACACCAGCAAACATTGAATGCCCCGCAGTTCACCAGTGTCCCTCCAGACAGCGAGAGCACATTGGCCAGCTACATCGACTTTACTTTGGCAGAGCTTACGCACGCACTTGATTACACTAGAAGGAAGAGCGCTCCAGGTCCTGACGGTATAACGTAACAGTCTCTCCGAAATATAGCCCCAGATTATCACCCCGACATTCTTGAGAAACTGAACGCCATCTGGAAAGATGGGACACTCCCAAATACATGGGAAGAGTCAATAATCATCCCAATACCTAAACTAGGAAAACCATTGGACGAAATCTCGTCCTACAGGCTTGTAACGTTAACAAGCTGCCTTGGAAAATTCCTAGAACGCATGGTTCTTCGGCGCCTCGCGTGGCTTCTAGATCGAGCGAATGCTCTCCCACCTTCGTTGGCGGGCTTTCGGACAAGGAGGTGCACAGCCGATGTGATAGGAGACCTCTTGTCGACCCTAGAAGAAGTCAAATCCACTGGCCGAATGGTGCACTGTGTCTTTCTAGACATTAGTCGTGCGTTCGACACACTGCCTCATTCTATCATCATCCAGCGACTCAAGTACTTTGGTATCTGTGGCCGAATCCTCACATTCATAGAGCCGTTCCTCACTGGACGGAGCTTCACTGTCAAGATCCTTGGTGCAACTAGCACTTCACGTCCAATCACCAAAGGTATTCCCCAAGGCAGCGTACTCAGCCCCTTACTCTTCAACGTGGTGATGGCATCGCTTCCTCAATGCCTTCCGACCAACAACGAGACCCTCCATGTCGGCATGGCAATATACGCTGACGACGTTGCCATGTGGTGCGAGGGTTCCTCCGAAAGTGCCGTAGCTATCCGAAATCGACTTCAAGTAGCCCTAGATGCTACGGCTCTGATGATTTCAAAACTCGGCCTCTCACTATCAGTGGTAAAAACCGCGTCGCTCCTTTACCGACCAGTAGGACGAGCACCCGAGCACGCACTGCGGCTAATGATTGCTGGAACTCCTGTTAAGAGAGTTGGTAGTCATCTCTATTTTGGGGTGCAGGTGGATGACCGCGTGACCTGGAGACCTGAGGTTCGGAGGACTTTGGAGCGATGTCGTGAGCTACTACGAGTCATACGACATCTCGGAGGCCCTTCGTGGGGAGCGTCACAACGTACTCTCCTACAACTCTACAAAGGTCTTATAATGTCGAGGCTCCTGTACTCCCTGCCACTCCTAAACATAGGAAGGGCCCAGATTCGGGACATTGACACATTTCACAGGAAGGCCCTGCGTTGCTGCCTCGGACTTCCACCATCTTCAGCAAACATCCCGACCCTTGTTGCGGCAGAAGAATGGCCTCTATCGTTAAGACTTGAGGAGAGAGCTATGCGTCACATTGCTCGCATTAACAGTGTTCCTGC